GAGAGAGAGAGAGAGAGAGAGAGAGAGAGAGAGAGAGAGAGAGAGAGAGTGAGGGTGGTGGGGAGGCGATTGATTGATTGATTGATTGATTGATTGATTGATTGATTGGTTGGTTGATTGATTGATGGATTGTTTGATTGATTGACTGATTGATTGACTGATGGATTGTTTGATTGATTCGATTGATTGATTGATTGATTGATTGATTGATTGATTGATTCTTCTTCTTCTTCTTCTTCTCCCCCCACATCGGTAGTCATAGCCAAAGTTGACGGTTTTTTTTTTCTTCTGCAACTTATTCTTCTCGGTCTTCATCCTCCACTCCCGTTCTCCTCCTGCAATCGTAGCCGTAGCCAACCTTTTTTTTTTTTTTTTTTAACTAGTTCGTTTTCCTCCTCCTCCTCTTCTTCTTCTTCTTCTTCTTCTCCCCCCACATCGGTAGCCATAGCCAGAGGTGACAATTTTTTTTTTTTCCAACTTATTCTTGGCGGTCTTCGTCCAGTAGTCCCGTTCTCCTCCTGCAACCGTAGCCAAACCCACAGCCAACTTGAGCCAAGCCGACTTTTTTCTCCTCCTCCTCCTCTTCTTCTTCTTCTTCTTCTTCTTCTTCTTCTTCTTCTTCTTCTTGTCATATCTCACCGGTGGCCTTGACGGGGGGCGGCGAAGAACGAGGCAGCCGGCGAAGAGCAACGGCAGCGGCAAAGGCTAAAGGACCTGCAGTGCCTGTTGTTGACAAGCCTGAATCGAGTACGCGAAGGATGACATCTGCACTGGCTACTTCAGTTGGCGGGGGAAAGGAGCCCACCCTTGGAACCGACGCAAGCTTGTTCCAGGCGAAGAGTGAGGCGGATCATGTTGCGCTGCGAAAGAAAAACAAGGTTTGGCTCTGGTGTGAGCAGGGACAGGAGGTAGCCACATCGAAAGGGAGGGGGGAGTACTGGGTCAGGTGCAGGTTGTGCTCGACAATCTGGAGGGTGTCGGCAAGCAAGGCTGCCGAGCATTTCTTGAAGCCGATGAGGCCGTGTGCACTGCGGACAGGCGAGATAGTCCACACTTTGGTTGCTGGTGGTGCRAAAGTGCAGCCTAACGACAAGAACRCGAAGTACTTGTTGAGGAATTACAAGGGAGGCGAGGCCGAATCRGATGTGCATCGTGGTGATGCATCACATGGAGAGGAAGGTTTGGAAGATCCGCAAACAGACGAGCCCCAGCCACCGCCTGTTGCAGGGCGGGCAGTTGCTGGCATTGCAAACATGCTCGCTGATGCACTTGATGAGGCTGTCGACGCTAGAGGTGCAGCGGAGAGCGGAGGCGGTGAGGAAGGGCAAGGGTCAACAGCACGAACGATTACCTTGAGACAGACCACTGTGCGACGTTGGGTGGACAATGCGGCGCAGAAAAAGTTGGACATTGCGTGGGTGGAGGCCATGTTCAGGGCTGGCATTGCTTTCAATTTCTTGAACATGGACACGACTCAAACGTTGCATGCCGTTTACCTGGAGGTAGCGAACGCGAGGCCGAAGGTGACGCTACCATCATACAACTACATGAGGACAATCATGCTGGACATCATTTACTTGAAGATCCAAAAGGAGGTGAACCCGATGACGAGGTGTTGGGACTCGACTGGATGCACGTTCATCGCTGACGGGTCAACTGACCGCAAGAATCGGCCAGTGATGAACTTCTTGGCGGCGGGGGAACAAGGGGCGGTGCTCGTGACGACGGTGACAATGAGTGGCAGGAAGAAGAATGCAGTGGCGTTGGCGAAGTTATGGGAGCAGGTAATGAGGGAGATTGGACTGCAAYGCATCAAMGCGATCTGCACCGACAACGCCGAAGTTAACAAGAAGGCGGYGCARATCCTAGAACGGCGCAAGGACAAGGACGTGGCGAGAATTCCGTGGGTYCCTTGCGGGGCACACTGCTGCAGTCTCSTTCTCAAGGATTTGGCCAACCTGTCGTGGATCAAGGGCACAGTGAAAACYGCGAACACAATCGTCAAGTTCATCCGGAATCATCACGCCACACACGACTTGATGATGAYCGTCGATGACTCGTTGTCCTTACTTCGTCCGACAGAAGTGCGGTTCGGATCTGTGTACCAGATGCTTCAACGACTAGCAGACAGAGAGGATGTTCTTGTCACGATGGTGGATGGGAGGGCGGCGTCAAAGTGGAGAGCATTGAGATGGTCAGGGGAGAAGTTGCGCAGGAGAGTCGACCTCGTGTACTACACACTGAGGTCGGAGGCATGGTGGCCGCAGGTGAGGAAGATTGTGGACATCATGCACCCTATCTTCCAGTTGCTGAAGAGAATGGACGCAGAAGGCACGCCTCCCACCAATCTTGTTGAGTACGATGATATGATTCGGYGGAAATTGACGAACGTGGTGCTGACGCAGAAGCAGCGGGAGGATGTCATGGAAAAGGTGTGTGACCGCGTGCAAATGATGAGGCAGCCGGTTCATGCAGCTGCATTCGTTCTTGATCCACGGCGGCGGAATGAACGCTGGCTCTTCGATCAAAACAGTGCAGTGATGCAAAATGCAATGCGCTACTTCTTGAGGCAGATTGGGGGTGAGTGGAACAGCCAGGAACATTCTGACTTGTGGGCGGAGTTGGAGTTCCAAAAAGAGCCCGCGAGGGTTGCAACGGAGCAAGTGTGCACGGAGCCCGGGAAAGCTATGAAGAAGCACAAGGATGAGCACATGTGAAAACAACCGGCGGTGGACGATGTGAGGAGGCTTAACCCTGCGACCTGGTGGGCAGCACATGGCGGGGATGTCCCAACACTTAAGGGAATTGCAATCAAGGTTATGGGGATGTGGAGCAATGCGACCCCCGCTGAGCACAACTGGGCCCTCATGGACTTTGTCCACACGAAGAGACGAAACAGTTTGTCCCCAGCATCCCTCGAGAAGCTCGTGTACATACACTGGAACATGCAGTTGCTGCGAGCTCGACACCACAAGGACAGCGGGTTCCTTGATGTCTGGGGTTCATTCTTCGAGCCAATCATGGAGCCAGAACAGAATGACGGGTCGACGCTGGCGACTGGCACTCAGGATGCTGCTGAAAAAGTGGATGAGGAGATGAGGCAAAGAAACATGGCGAAGGCTCCAAAAAACAGGATCCCCCCAAACCTGCTCGATTCCGACACTAGTGACAGCAGTGACCTCGAGGATATGGTGTGGAAGGGGAAGTGCTGGAATGAGTCATCATCGGAGGACTGCAGTGAGGATGAGGACTCCGATTTCGAGCTCGGTGTGGTGCATGCAGTCCCGGCGACCACGTATGTCGGCAGGCGAACCAGGCCACAGGACAGGGAGCTCGAGCTTGAGCCTACGCCGGTCGTCGAGAGAGTGGACACGGACGTAGAGTTTTTGCTGCACCGCCACGATGACCCGGACGAGGAAGAGGCCACCCGTGCGAAGGAGATGGCGGACAAGGATCATGAACTTGTGGAGAGGTGGGTCGCTGAGGAGGAGGCCCGTCGCGCAGCGATCCCTACACGCAGGGAGAGGGAGAGGAATGCTGCACAGCAGGAAAAGCACGGGGGTGAGGCCCTGAAGGAAATGGACGGGGATGTCCAGCCTGCCGTGGAGAAGGGCGAGCAGCAGCAAGGGGAGCCTGCACACGCAGCGGAAGAACAATAAGCACTGCCGTGTACACGTGCAGGCTCCGCCCATGCGTGGAGCAACAAGTCGGAGTGGAGGGAGAGACCACCGACCAGCAGGTTGCAATTGGCGAGAGGGGGAAGGAGCAGCAGGCCGCAGAGGACATCGGCACGCCCCCTTTCCCTGAGTTCAACGATGCTCTCCACGATGACAACCTCTGGAAGAGCAGGGCAGGCAGGAAGAGGAAGGCAACAGCGGAGTCCCCCGAAGCGCCTCGACATGGCCGTGGAAGGCCCAGAAAAAAAAAGGCAGTGGACAAGACTGCGTTGCAGCACGGGCGCCGCAACACTAATGCTCGCAAGAAGCGTGTCATTAGTGACGATGACCCGGACAGTGATGACAGTCCCTGGCGGTCACTTGATGGGGGGATGAGCCCATGCCACTCCGATTAAGGGATCAAGGGACAGTTGTGTGTTTGTGTGTGTTTGTGTGTGTGTGTGTGTGTGTGTGTGAGAGAGAGAGAGAGAGAGAGAGAGAGAGAGAGAGAGATTCATTTTATGAACAGGAATGGTGATCCCAAACTCCCCAGAGCAAGTTCGGTGCTGCATAACTTCTTTTTATGTCTTCTTCTTCTACCACTTTTTCTTCTTCTTCTTCTTCTTCTTCTTCTTCTTCTTTTTCGTCTTCGTCTTCTTCTTCTCCTTGTTCTGTAGCCTTGTGTGGTATGGCTTCCTTGAAGATCCTTCATGTTTTGTGCCGATGCAGGTATGCATCGGTCAGTGTTGGCAGGAGGACAGGTACGCTGCAACCACCCCACTAACACCCCCAGAAAACCCAGACCCCCCCCCAAAAAAAACCCGTGAAAAAAGAAATTCTCACTTTCATATTTTCTCTGCGGATTCGGGGAGATCTCGACAAGCGCAGTCCAACCCCATCAAAAAAAAATAATAATAAAAAAAAAAAATTTGACCCGGTTTTGGGCCCAACCGGAATTCCGGTCCGGTCCGGTCCAACCAACCGGACCGGCTGGGACCGGTCCGGTCCAACCGGCCGGTGGCCGGTGCAGCCCTGCCCCCCTCTCATCTTTGTCTGTGCTTGGCCGTAGATGAGTGCGTTCCTCCTCACCACCCCCATCTCCTCCACGGTCTTGCTTGCGAACAGACTCTCCAGTTTCCATTGTTCCCATTGTTCCACCTGCGTTGCTAGGTACAAGTTCAGCTTCTGTTTGCAACACCACTACTCTTGTTGTGTATCACTGGCGACATCCGCGACATCGTCACTGGTCCGGGGATCAGCAACCTGTTTCTTTGTCTGCCCCGATTCTCTATGTGCCTCCTCCACAGGTTGTTGCGGTTCGTTTGTTTCAAACGGCAATATCCGCTCCTATGCCTCCTGCAGGCAGTCCAGCTTCCTGCAGGCAGCCACCTGTCCCTACTCCGGATGCAGCCGCTACCCAGAGTACACTCCCGACTCCAGGTACAATACCTACTCAGGATGCAGCCCTAAACGTTGAGGGATTGGAACATGATCTGCCCGGATTGCAGTTGACCCCACAAGGCGTAGACCACATGGGGGATCAGCAAACAACCCAACACAGTTTGGGCTTGCAACACCATCTGGGTTATCTGCAAATTGTTGGCCAGCATCAACAAACCAGCATAAGAACCTCACCAATCTCTGCGGTCTGACAGCAAGTGATATCTGTCTTCACATTCTCCATCGCCCGTTTTATACACCATCAGACTTCCTTGCAATCGCCCTTCAGCTTGATGTTGATCTTCCCCAACAACAGCCAGAGAATTGTCATTATACCAGCGAAGGAGGCTTTACCATTGTTGTCCTACAAGTAGCAATGAGGGACCGTCAACTTGAGCTACGCAATGCTCGAGCAGGTGAGTGGTTTAATCCTCCATCCCACATCTCTGCCTGCATTGTACACGGCTCTGGCCATTACATGGCCATTGTACATGCCTCTGACCACTAGGAGCTGTGGGACAATGGCACCATGGTCCATGCCGTGATTGATGTCACTGAGTTCTTACAAAATGATGTTGTTTTCTTGCCACAACAAACCGTCCGCAATCTCTTTTATGTCGAAGATCATTCCTCTGGCCCCGTGCTGCAGCAAGACAATGCACCAACACTCTGCGACCTTCTCCTTTGCACAGCCACAAACACTGTTACATTCGGCTGTAGCTGCCATTGTCTCTGTCACAATCGCCACAATGACATGGTTTTTGCATCCATGTGTGCAGAGGACTGTCCCACCGTTCCTGGCTGCAGGCACCCTCTGCATCCGGACACTATATGTCCATTTTGCGGCCATGGGCGCTATACTGAATGCATGCTCTTTTGCGGTGACCGTTCTTCTTTCATTTTGGCCTGCAATCGACATGCCATTTGTCGGGGGTGTATGGCGGGCATGCTCAATGCCACCAGTCGTGGCAATTGTTGCACTGAGAATGCTCAGCTAGGTCTTCCATGTGTTCATCCACATCATCCTTATAATGTATGTTCTCTCGGTCGTCAAGGACAAACTCATTTTTTAGCCTTTTCTTATCCTCTTTTGCCTTCATCTTCACTCCACGCTCCCCTTACTTTCCCTTTATCGTTCTTTGTTTGTCTGCTCTCCATCTCTCCTCCGTGTGTTTATCCCCTCCCCCTTCACTCTGCCTCTTTCTCAGAGCGTACAAGTGGGTTGTTATGGCGCACGGGGATGGGGGCAGCTCGCACTCAACTTCATCAACGTGGCGAGCCTTGTCCGTGAGAGGCACGGTGAAAGGGGAGTCAAAAGAAGAATGAATAAAATGAATGGTTTCACTGTGCTCTTCATGTTTGTCTTGTGTGTTTTTTTTTTGTCGTTTGTGTCGCAAATTGCGCTCTTTTAGTTCATAGTGACAAGATATATCCATCAACAATGAATCTACAACTAAGGAATAATCAAGGGGCTACCCCGATACTTCCCACCCCTCTCGGGAGATTTCCTACCGCTGGCATGGCAGGTGCTATACCAAGCTTCCCTCTTGGACACTATGTTCCGTTTGCTCATGCTCACATGTCAAACCGCCAGGCATCTGTCTCTCATCGTGTAGATTGGCGTGCACACGTGGAGTGGAATACTAATTTGTATTCTGCAGGAGGTTGGCGCAAGAAACAACTCTGTCTTCTTAACAGTGTTGTGCAGGCAGAGCGATTTGAGTTGCAACTGCGAGGTGTTGATCAACAACCCCTTGAACCAGGTATGGACCCCCTCACTGTTCGAGGAGTGATTTATGCAATTGTTCATTTGCCTTCAAGACATTTTTATGTTGGACAGACGATGCATTCTGCACATCAACGGCTGCAAGAGCATTGGCATACACGGCGCTCTTCTGCTGCTTTTCGCCACTGCCATCTCTATCGTGCAATGTGTGGGCAACCAGCATTCAACTTTGCTGCTTGGCCCTTGGAATGCATCGATCCTACCCTTTATTATACGTCAGAAGGTCTTATTGATCATGCCCTCTTTCAGCGGGCTGCTGCGCCCCGCGAGGGTTTCCGGGTTTGTAAACTTCGAACTCTTCACCCAGTTGGTTTCACTGCAGTCCCTCCAATGGCTAGACTGCTGGCTCCACGACGACCCTTCCGCCCTCATCGCTGGACACAAATGGGCCCTCGTCTCTTTGCTCCTCAACCCCCTCTACCTCCTCATGCCTCAGCTCCTCCTGTTTCCCTCCCTACCACATCTATTGCTTCTCCATCCGTTCTTGTACCAGTTGATCCTTCTCACATAGCACCCCTTTTACCAACACCTGTTGGCTCTTATGCTGCACGCTTTTTATCTACACCCGCTCACTGTTTGCCTCTCTTGCCAACACCCCCTCACTATTTACCTCTATTGCCAACACCTTTGGTTAGGTCCTTTGCTGTTGATCTTCGTCTGGGTCCCCAACTTATGATTCGTACCTCACTGCATCGTCTTCTCATTGAAGCTGCTTCGGGTAATTGGTGTCGTGTCAAGGCTGATATTGAGCAAGCAGCACCAGCATGGCGGGTACGACTTTCGCAATGGCTTTACAATAATGTCTCCAATGCAAACATGACAGCAGACATTCGAGAACTTGAATGCCTCATCCGAAAATCGCAGCATACCTGCCAACGTTACACAGCACAACCTCATGACCCATTTACTGACCACATCAAGGTCGTACATGCGCATGAGGTAGCTCGTGCTACAAACTTGCGCCATGTGTTACAATTGTCGGATGTAGTTGCATTGCACCCCGATCCTCAAGCAACCACACATGTTCGTGTATGTGATAAACTGATGCCACCCACGCGTGTCTAGTTTTGTAACTTCACTGATGTGGCCTTGAGTGTTACTCCTGGCCTGACCTTACCCAACTCTTCTGATTGCGAATGCTGCAGAGCCTTTCCACATTGTTCTGATCTTGTGGATGGCCATATTGTGTCTGTTGAGTACAATATCATCTCCGATGATAGCCTTCGCAAACTTTTTCAAGAAGGCTCGAAGTATCGGCTGAATGGGGAAACTGCTGATGTGCTCCAGGCACTGGCAAATGGACAGACGAGTACATTGCCAATTACAAAAGGTTGTTGGCCGGACATTCTCGATCTGCTTCTTTCTTGTCTCTTTCTCAGAAGTTGAACAACTGGCGTTCTGCAATCCTTGCGCATTGTCAATCCAATGCATCTTCGTTCTCCAATCATGTGAGCCAGCCACGTTCACTACGTTCTACACATGCCTCCTTGCACCATCTTCAACAACACTTTGCCATTGTCCTTGTGGACAAAACATCACACAATTTGGCAATTTGCTGCAAGAATTGGTATTTGTTTCAYCTCTCTACCCATTTGGACAGTCCCACTTATACTCGTCAAGAGTTTGTTGTTGATGCCCTTGACCACCATGCAGTGTGGAATCACCATTGGGGTTACACCCACACTGATACCCTACCTTACCTTTACTATGTACTCAAAGTTCACAAGTCTCCTTCAGCTCTTCGCAACATTCTTGGAGTCACATCACAAAATAATAGTGATGTTCCCTCGCGTGCACGCCCTCGTCCAACAATTCGCACCATTCATGAACGGCCTCCTCACAAACCCTTGGCTAGCACAACGACTACTTCGTCGTATCTCAGCGTTGCTTTGCAAGGAGTGATCTCTACTCTTCGCGAGAAAGACACTAAGCTCTATCAACAGATTGGTGTTCGACGGTGTTGGATTGTTCAGAGTGCCGATGAAGTGACGATTGACGTGAAAAACGATGCATCGTCTCTTCGTGGCCTCTCTCCTCGCACTGTTGATTTTACCACAATGTACACCAACCTTCCTCATGACCGCATTCTGAATAATGTGGCAAGAGTTGTTGATGAAGCTCATGCTTATGCCCTTCGGCAAGCTCGCACGCATTCACACTGTGTTGCCCTCAACATAGTTATTCGAGGACCTAGTTGTGGCCAATGGACAACTGATTCAGGCCCAGATCCCCTTTTGTCTCTCAGATTCTCCAACATTTTCGCTTTGTTGTACAAAACATTTTTCTATACACGAGAGATGGCACGCTTCAGAAACAAATTATCGGTATTCCAATGGGAACGAATGCTGGCCCAGAAATTTATAATCTAACGCTGTATTGGGATGAAGCACGCTTTGTTGATGACATTCGTCAACATGATCTTCAAGTTGCTCAACAATATGCCTTCACCTATCGCCTCATTGATGATGTTCTTTCATGGGGACCTTTACCTCCTCCACCAGAACACTATGGGCTGGAGTGGAAGGAGACTACAACTACAGATGGCTCCTGTACCTTTTTAGGTATGCAGCTGCGGGTCCGTTCCGATGGCTCGCTTCGCATGAGCGTCTTTGACAAAGCGGCTGCTTGGGATTTCACTGTCATTCGTTATCCGAGTGTGACCTCCAACATTCCTTCCCATCAACTGGCTGGTGTGTTCACTGGGCAATTGACCAGATTTGAACAAATTTGTAACCATTGGCAGGACTTTCGAACTGCGGCAACAACACTTACTCGTCGTACGCTTTCGCGTGGGCATTCCCCACCAACCCTTGCTAAGGGGTGGACCTGCTACATGCACTCCCGCCAACGTCGCTATCCTACACATGTGACGCGTCTCTCTTAGTGGTTCCGACGCATGTTGCAATGGTCCGTGTATCAACCAATTTCTTCTTCGCCGCCACGATGCTCTCGTCCTGCCCCTGCTTACTCATCTGCTGCTATCGCAATTTCCACTGCTGCAGTCTCCACGCTTGCAGTTTCCACTGTTGGAGTCTCCACTCATGCAGTTTTCACTGCTGCAATGTTCACTGTTGCGGTTTCCAATGCTGCAGTGTCCACTTCTGCAGTGTTCACTGTTGCGGTTTCCACAGCTGTAGTGTCCACTGCTGCAGTCTCCATTGCTCCAGTTTCCACTGCTTCAGTTTCCGCTGCTGCAGTTTCTACTGTTGCGGTTTCCACTACTACAGTTTTCAGTACAGCAGTTTCCCTAACTGCAATTCCCCCTACTTTAGTTTTTACTGCTACAGCATCCTGTCCTGCAGCTCCAATGCAAAGAACATCACAATCTTTCCGGCGCTCACGTCCTTTGCTCCGAAATCTTGCCCAATGCACCCCCCTCTCATCTTTGTCTGTGCTTGGCCGTAGACGACTGCGTTCCTCCTCACCACCCCCATCTCCTCCACGGTCTCGCTTGCGAACAGACTCTCCAGTTTCCATTATCCCCATTGTTCCACCTGCGGTGCTAGGTACGAGTTCAACTTTTGTTTGCAACGCCACTAATCTTGTTGAATATCACCGACGACATCCGCGGCATCGTCACTTGTCCAGGGATCAGCAACCTGTCTCTTTGTCTGCCCCGATTCTCTCTGTGTCTCCTCCACAGGTTGTTGTGATTCCTTTGTTTCAAACGGCAATATCCGCTCCTATGACTCATGCAGACAGTCCATCTGCCTGCAGGCAACCACCAGTCCCTACTCAGGATGTAGCCGCTGCCCAAAGTACACTCCCGACTCCAGGTATAGTCCCTACTCAGGATGCAGCCCTAAACGTTGAGGGATTGGAACATGATCTGCCCGGATCGTAGTTGGCCCCACAAGTTGTAGACCACATGGGGGATCTGCAAATGTCTGACCAGCATTGTGCGGATGAAACATAATTTTGTGCTCCGCCACATGCACACCACATGGGTGATCTGCAAATGACTGACCAACAAACAACCCAACACAGTTTGGGCTTGCAACACCATCTGGGTGATCTGCAAATTGTTGGCCAGCATCCAACAAACCAGCCTGAGAACCTCACCAATCTTTGTGGTTTGACAGCAACTAAGATATGTCTTCACAGTCTTCATCGCCCGTTTTATACACCATAAGACTTCCTTGCAATCGCTCTTCAACTTTATGCTCCAACGACAGCCAGAGGATCGCAAATATACCAGCGAAGGAGGCTTTACCGTTGCTGTCCTACAAGTAGCAATGAGGGACCGTCAACTTGAACTACGCAATGCTCGAGCAGGTGAGTGGTTTAATCCTCCATCCCACATCTCTGCCTGCATTGCGCACGGCCCTGGCCATTACATGGCCATTGTACATGCCTCTGACCATTGGGAGCTGTGGGACAACGACACCATGGTCCATGCCATGATTGATGTCACTGATTTCTTACAAAATGATGTTGTTTTCTTGCCACAACAAACCGTCCGCAATCTCTTTTATGTCGAAGATCATTCCTTTGGCCCCGTGTTGCAGCAAGACAATGCACCAACGCTCTGCGACCTTCTTCTTTGCACAACCACAAACACTGTTACACTCAGCTGTAGCCGCCATCGTCTCTATCACAATCACTACAATGATATGGTTTTTGCATCCATGTGTGCAGAGGACTGTCCCACCGTTCCTGACTGCAGGCACCCTCCTCATCCGGACAGTATATGTCCATTTTGTGGCCATGGGCGCTATATTGAATGCATGCTCTTTTGTGGTGACGGTTCTTCTTTCATTTTGGCCTGCAATCGACATGCCATTTGTCGGGGGTGTATGGCGGGCATGCTCAATGCCACCCGTCGTTGCACTGAGAATGCTCAGCTAGGTCTTTCATGTGTTCATCCATGTCATCCTTAAAATGTTTGTCCTCTCTGTCGTCGAGGACAGACTCATTCTTGAGCCTTTTCTTATCCTCTTTTGCCTTCATCTTCACTCCACACTCCATACTTTCCCTTTATCGTTCTTTGTTTGTCTGCCCTCCATCTCTCCTCCCTGTGTTTATCCCCTCCCCCTTCACTCTCCCTCTTTCTCACAGCGTACAAGTGAGCCGTTATGGCACACGGGGATGGGGGCAGCTCGCGCTCAACTTCATCAACGTGGCGAGCCTTGTACGTGAGAGGCACAGTGAAAGGGGAGTCAAAAGAAGAATTAGTAAAATGAATGGTTTCACTGTGCCCTTCATGTTTGTCTTTTTTTTTTTCTTTTTTTCTTTTTTTTTACCGTTTGTTTCGCAAATTGCGCTCTTTTAGTTCATAGTTATGTGACAAATGAGTCGGTGAAACTCCGACGAAACAGTTTGTCACAGCCCCTCGTTTGTTGTCCTCTTCTCCCTCTCTGCCTACGGTTTACCGGGCAGTTCTATTTGACGATATATATAGTCCTCTTCTCTCTCTCTGCCAACGGTTTACCGGGCAGTTCTGTTTGTGACGATATATAGATATATATTTATCACAATGAGTGGGCAACCAACATTCAACTTTGCGGCTTGGCCCCTGGAATGCATCGATCCTACCCTGTATCATATGTCTGGAGGTCTTGTTGATCATGGCCTCTTTCGGAGGGCTGCTGCACCCCGCGAGGGTTTTTGGGTTCGAAAACTTCGAACGCTTCACCCAGTCGGTTTCAAYGCAGTCCTTCCAATGGCTAGATTGCCATCTCCACGACGGCATTTACGTCCTTCCCGATGGACACAAATGAGCCCTCAGTCGTTCGTTCCTCAATCCCCTTTTGCTCAGCCCTCACCTGCTCCACCTATTCCTGCATCAGCTAATCCTCCTCACACATCACTCCTTTTGCCAACACCCGTTGGCTCCCATGTTGCACCTCTTTTGCCAACACCCTCTCGGCCTTAACCTCTCCTCCCAACGCCTTGGCCTCCGTCATTTGCTATTGATCTTCGTCCAGGTCCCCAACTCGTAATTCGTACCTCACTCCATCGCCTTCTTAATGAAGCTGCTTCGGGTAACTGGTGTCGTGTCAAGGCTGACATTGAGCGGTCACAACCAGCGTGGTGGGCACGACTTTTGCAATTGCTTTATAACAATGTTTCAAATGCGGACATGACAACAGACGTTCGAGAACTCGAATGCCTCATCCGAAAATCCCATCATACCCGCCAACGTTACACAGCACAACCTCGTGACCCATTTACGGACCATATTAAGGTCGTACATGTGCATGAGGTAGTTCGTGCCACGAACTTGCGCCATGTGTTGCAGTTGCCAGAAGTAGCTGCATTGCACCCTGACCCGCAAGCGGCCGCACATGTTCGTGTATGTGACAAGTGGATGCCACCCACACATGTTCAATTTTGCAACTTTACTGATGTGGCATTGAGTGTTGCTCCTGACATGACCTTACCAGACTCCTTGAACTGCGAATGCCGCAGGGCCTTTCCACATTGTTCAGATCTTGTGGACGGCCATGTTGTCTCTGTTGATTACAATACCATCTCAGACGATAACCTTCGCAGCTTTTTCAAGAAGGTTCTAAATATCGTTTGAACGGGGAGACTGCTGATGTGCTCCAAGCGTTGGCAATTGGATTGGATGAGTACATTGCGAGTTACAAGAATACTTTTGCTAGACACTCTCGATCTGCTTTTTTCTCGTCCCTTTCTCATAAATTGCACAACTGGCKTTCTGCAATCCTTGGGCATTGTCAATCCAATGCGACTTCGTCTTCCAATCATGTGAGCCAGCAACATTCACTTCGTTGTGCACATGCCTCCTTACGCCATCTGCAACAACACTTTGCTAGTCCCTGTGGACAAATCATCCCACAATTTGGCAATTTGTTGCAAGAATTGGTATTTGTTTCACCTCTCTACCCATTTGGACAGTCCCACGTATACTCGTCCTTATGAATCCGTTGCTGATGTGCTCAACCACCATGCACTATGGAATCACCATTGGGGTTATACCTACACTGATACCCTGCCTTACCTATACTATGTGTTGAAAGCCCACAAGTCTCCTCCAGCTCTTCACATCATTCTTGGAGTCACAACACAGAAAACTTGTCCCGTTCCCCCACGCACTCGCTCTCGTCCTTCAATTCACACCATTCATGAACGGCCTCCTCACAAACCCTTGGCTAGCACAACGGCTACTTCGTCCTGTCTCAGCACTGCTTTGCAAGGCGTGATCTCTACTCTTCGTGAGAAAGACACTGAACAGGAAGGTGTTCGACGGTGCTGGATCGTCCAGAGTGCCGATGAGGTGGCGATTGACCTGAAAAACAATGTGTCCTCTCTACGTGGCCTCTCTCCTCGCACGGTTGATTTCACCACAATGTACACCAACATTCCTCATGACCGCATTCTGAATAATGTGGCAAAGGTTGTTGATGAAGCTCATGCTTATGCCCTTCAGCATACCCGCATGCATTCGCGCTGCAGAGCCATGAACATGTTTATTCGTGGGCCTTGCTCTGGCCAATGGACAACCGATTCAGGACCAGACAACCTTTCCGTTCTCAGATTCTCCAACATCTTCGCTTTGTTGTCGAAAACACGTTTCTGTACACTAGAGATGGTACTCTTCGAAAGCAAATCATTGGTATTCCAATGGGAACAAATGCTGGTCAAGAAATCTCCAATGTAACGCTCTATTGGGATGAAGCACGCTTTATTGATGACATTCGTCAACATGATCCCCAAGCTGCTCAGCGATATGCCTTCACTTATCGCCTCATTGATGATGTTCTTTCATGGGGGCAATTACCCCCTCCTTCAGAGCACTATGGGCTCGAGTGGAAGGAAACTACGGCTGCAAATGGCTCGTGTACCTTTTTAGGTATGCATCTACGAGTACGTTCTGATGGTTCGCTTCGCATGAGCGTGTTTGATAAAGCGGTTGCTTGGGATTTCCCAGTTATTCGCTATCCAAGTGCTACCTCCAACATCCCTTCCCATCAACCGGACGGTGTGTTCACTGGGCAATTGACCAGATTTGAACGCATCTGGAATAATTGGCAGGACTTCCGAACTGCAGCCACAACACTCACTCGTCGCATGCTTTCTCGTGGCCATTCCCCACCAACCCTCGCTAAAGGATGGACCTGCTACACACGCTCYCGYCAACGTCGCTATCCTACACATRTCACCCGTCTCTCTYAKTGRTTCYKACGCATGCTGCGATGGTCCTTGCATCACCCACTTTCTTCTTTATCCCCACATCGCTCTCGTCCTGTCACTGCTTGTTCATCTGCTACTAATGCAGTTCCCTCTGTTGCGGTTCCCACCGCCGCCGGTTCCACCGCTGTGGTCTCCACTGCTGCAGTTTCTACTGCTGCTGTTTCAACTCCGAGTTTCACTCCGGAAGTTGCCTCCGCTGCGGTTCCTGCTACGGAAGTTGCCTCTGCTGCGGTTCCTGCTACAACAGTCGTCTCTGTTGCGGTTCCACTTTTTACCACTTCCTCTGCTTCTGTACCTCAAATTTCTCATGCTATAGTTTTTACTGGTATAGCTTCCTCTACCCCAGCCCGACACTCGCGTCCTATGTTCCGACATCTTGCCGAATCCACCCCCCTTTCATCCCTTTCTGTGCTTGGCCGTAGACGGCTGCGTTCCTCCTCACCACCCCCATGTCCTCCACGGTCTCGTTTGAGAACCGATTCTCCGGTTTCTATTCTTCCCATTGTTCTGCCTTCATTGCCAGTGACATCCTCATCTTCTGTTAGAAACATCGCCACTCCTCTTATTGTGTATCATCGTCGACGACATGCACAACATCGCCACTTGGCCAGGGATCAGCGGCCTGCTTCTTTGTCTACCCCAATTTTCTCTGTGCCTCTTCCACAGGTTGTTGCGGTTCCGTTGTCCCAAACGGATACATCCGCTCCTATGCCTCCTGCAGACAGTCCAACTGCTTGCACACAGCCACAACACCATGTTTTATGCCCTTCCATGTTCGTTTGTACCCCAGTTGTACAACATGCGGCCCCGAACGCTGAGGGCCTGGAACATGATCAGCTCGGACTGCATTTAACCCCGCAAGGCATAGACCACACGGGGGATTTGCAAATGGCCGACCAGGATCATATGGATGAACCGCATACTTGTGCCCCATCCTGTGTGGCCCCGAACGCTGAGGGACTGGAACATGATCTGCTTGGACTGCATTTAATCCTTCATGGCGCAGACCCCACGAGGGATTTGCAAATGGCTGACCAAGATCATATGGATGAACGGCATACTTGTGCACCACCCTGCGCAAACCCCACGAGTGATTTACAAATGACTGACCAACCAAACCAGCCTGAGATCCCCGCCAATCTHTGTGGTCTGACTGCAACTAATAGCTGCCTTCACATTTTCAATCGGCCGTTGTATACACCATCAGATTTCCTTGCAATTGCCCTACAACTTGATGTTGATCTCACTAATCTCGCTGATCCCCCCGACCTACAGCCAGAGCATCGTAATTACACCAGGGAAGGAGGTTTTACCATTGCTGTCCTAAAAATAGCGATGAGGAACCGCCAGCTTGAACTACGCCATGCTCTACCAGGTGAGTTGTTTAATCCTCCACCCCACATCTTTGCCTGCATTGTGCACGGGCCTGACCATTACATGGCTATTGTACACGCCTCTGACCATTGGGAGGTGTGGAACGACGGTGTCATGGTCCATGCCATGATTGATATTACTGATTTCTTACTCTAGGATGCTGTTCTCTTGCCACATCAAACTGTCCGCAATCTCCTCTATGTCGAAGATCATTCCTCTGCCACCGCAGTGCATCAATACAGTGTACACACACTATGTGACCTTCTCCTTTATACAACCACAGACTCTGTTGCACTTGGGTGTACTCGCCATCATCTTTGTCACAATCACTACCATGAGATGGTTTCTGCATCCATGTGTGTAGAGGATTGTCCCTCCGTTCCTACCCTCCTCATCCGGACACTATATGTCCATTTTGTGGCCACAGACGCTATGCTGAATGCATGCTCTTTTGTGGGGGGCGTTCTTCCTTTATTCTGGCCTGCCATAGACATGCTATTTGTGAGGGATGTATGGTTGGCATGCTTAATGCCAGACGTCGTGGCAGTTGTTGTTTTGAAAATGCTCAGTTAGGTCTTCCATGCGCTCATCCACCCCATCCTTACAATGTGTGTCCTTTCTGTCGTCAAGGACAGCCTCATTCTTGAGCTTTTTCTTGCCCTTTCCTTTGTCCTCTTCCTCATTCTAAACTCCGTATTTTCCCTCTTCCATTCTTTGTTTGTCCTCTCTCTGTCTCTTTTCCCTGTGTTTAACACCTTCCCCTTCACTCGGCCTCTCTCACAGCGTGCAAGTGGGCTGTTATGGCATACGGGGATGGGGGCAGCTCGCGCTCAACTTCATCAACGTGGCAAGCCTTGCAGGTGAGAGGCATAGTGGAGGTGGAGTTCAAAGAAGAATGAGAAATTTAATGGTTTCAATCTGCCCTTGCTTTTTCTTTTCCTTTTTGTTTTTATTTTTGCAATGTGCCCGTTTTTTGTTTTTATTCTTTGTTTCGCAAAGTGCGCTTTTTTAGTCTGTAGTTATGTGACAATATATACGAAATGTTTTTCACCTTTAGCAGTAGCGAATGCAGATCCCAGGGCTCGATCCCTAGTTCTCACCTTATCTGTGTACAGTATCTGTGTCGACCTCGAGTGTTTGAACCCGTGACCTGTGTTTTGGCAGTTGTTGCTGTCTGTCATAGGTCTGTGTAGTGGTAGGGGTTCGATCTGTAGGTCTGTCGAGTAGGAGTCACAGCCTTGTAGAGGTCGTAGCTGTAGGGATCCTGAAAGGTCAAGGTCGTAGCTACGACAGTCCTAAGAGGTCAAGGTCGTAGCTGCTACAGTACCCGAAAGGCCAAGTCTACAGACTTCCGCAAGGTCCTGGAAGTTGCCTTTCGGAGTGGGCTCACGTTTAGGCAGAGGCAAGTGGGCAAGTGGTGGAGCCAACCTCAGTACGTTGGCAGTGCGATTGCAGTGAGTCTGCGGTGCAAACCCATGCAGTCAGCGGTACCTGTCCAGTCAGTCCCAGTCCAGTCCAGCAAGTACCATGAGGGACTGTGTGCACCATGGGCCGATGGAAAAGGGCAGACCAGCGAGTCACAGAAGTATAAATCAAGAGGCAACGCCCAGCCATTCATTGATTTCCTGCGTAAGCCATGCGGACGAGCTGCCATAGCGACTTGTGCGAGGTGGTCTGCAGTGAGCGCGGGGACGAAGTGGGCGAGAAGAAGCTTAGCTATAGCGATAGGGTAGCAGCGGCCATAGCCGCCATAGCTGTAGATGTGTGCGGGTGTGTGTGTGTACAGAGTGTGATGTGTGTGGGATATCCAGGGCGATCCTGTGTGCGAACAGCAGTGTCGAGTAAGTGACGAACAGAGAGTTGTACAGGGGATGTGCCGCCATAGCCAGTTGAAGTGAACTTGTATCTAAGCTGCGTTCTGGGTTACCATATCTCTAAGTTCTGAGTGGGCGCTTGACGCCAGTTTGTTGCGCAACGTGTTTGCATGCATGTGAAGTGTGAATGAAAGCGAGTCTGATTGCACTGGTATCGGAGCTGGTACGCGCTATCCCATGCGCCATCGCCGTTGCAGCAGGAGAGAGACGCGCGCCGTAGGGCGCCGTAGTTGAAGAGCGCCACCGTGAAGAAGAAGTCCGCCATAGCATCGCTGCGGAAGAAGGTGCTGCGTACCTGCAAGGAAGACAACGACAAAGAAGAGAGAGAGAGAGAGAGAGAGAGAGAGAGAGAGAGAGAGAGAGAGAGAGAGAGAGAGAGAGAGAGAGAGAGAGAGAGAG